CGATAAGATCTGTTTTTGCGCGTTTTTACGACCTACAATTTGTTAGTGGAGATTTATTGAACTTTGGGGAAGAGATGTCGATATTATGTGTGTGAGGTCTGGAATGTGTATGATTGATGTGTTTCTTGTTGGTCAGGGCGCGGAGGTTCTGCAGGTAACAAGTTTAGGATGTCACTGGGTCTGCCGGTAGCGGCGACAGTGAACTGTGCCGACAACACTGGAGCTAAGAACCTGTACATCATCTCAGTGAAGGGTATCAAGGGCCGTTTGAACAGGTTGCCATCGGCTTGTGTTGGAGACATGGTTATGGCCACTGTCAAAAAGGGGAAGCCCGATCTCCGGAAGAAGGTCCTTCCTGCTGTCATTGTTAGGCAGCGCAAGCCATGGAGGCGAAAGGATGGAGTTTTCATGTACTTCGAAGGTATATATGTTTTTTATTTTTTGTGTTTCGGAAACCAATATGATACACGAACTTTGATCTGGAATTGTGTTTTCCTGTTCACGTTTGCTATCTATCACACGAGAGAAACAATTTATATTTTTAGGGTTGACGTTTGCCACTTGATCATTCCCGGATGATTGCGTCTAATTGAATTTTATTTGTCTTTGGGCCTTTTGTTATTAACTGTTATCCTTGCTGTTATGGGGTTGCTTGCATTGTTCAAACATGATAATTCCATGATTAACGGTTCTACTGAAGCCAGATACATCCACTGTTAGTGAATTTAGTTTTGAGTTTCTTAGATGTTTATTTAGTATTCATTAAGGTTGTACGTTTTACTGGGGTCAAATAGCCAAATAGGGTCATTTAAAAAAAAAGGAATAACTTCGAAAAACTCTCAATAAAACCTATTTGGTAAAATAAGCCGTGTGTGCGTGTTTTGTCTTCATGGACTCACTATCAATGCGTCCCTAATATGAAATTAACAGAAAGCAACCTATTGTAATGGTATCCTCCATTTAGACCCATCTAGCTTCCAGGCATAAGTCAGGTATCCTCCTTATTATAATGGTTGATACAGTTACGAGTCTGGTAAAATGACAGTGTCCATCGTTGCAGATACGTTGAAGCTTCCATACTCATATCAGCTCCGTGTGGACAGTACACTGATTTAGTTTATAATACTTCCATCCTTGATCTCATCGTTGCCAGTTAGCACAAGATCATCTTCCCTAAACTGCTGATTCATCCGTATAGAAATTTTGTTTAAAGTGTTTCTTTAAGTACTATTTTCTGATTTCAAATATAATATTTTTTGCAGATAATGCTGGAGTGATTGTGAACCCGAAAGGAGAAATGAAAGGTATGATTCATTCATCAGGAAAAAGAGATGCACATTTTCCCTTTTCCTTTAGTTTTTAACCCTTTACAGGTTATCATGTTGGTTTATTGCTGCTCTGCTGTTACAGGTTCGGCAATTACGGGTCCTATTGGAAAGGAGTGTGCGGATCTATGGCCTAGGATTGCAAGTGCAGCCAATGCTATCGTTTAATTTTGTTTTTAAGTTTCAATCTTCTCGATTCTGTGGTCAGTTGTAATCATTTTTGACATCCTAGTGTTTCTTATAGTACTAATCTATTACCTTTTTGGATGGGATCTTTCTAAAACAATGAATTAGATGTTGAGTTGATAAGAATTTTTTAGAATTTGTCTCGAATGTTTCCAACAGTTCATAAATAGCTATCATCTCATGTTATTTTGCCCTTACAAGCTTGTGGGTTGATAGAATATGTTTAGGATTCGCGTTCAAGATAACTCGAGATAGCATCTCGGCTATAACCCTCAAGGTTTTAGAACGTTGTTATATGTTGAGTTTTCTCCAGGCTTCCCCTACTTGAGGTTAGGGGGAGGTTTTTTTACACCCTTCTAAAGAATATATTTTTTTAATTTTATAATAGGAATTGTGGGAAAGAATATATATATATATTTTTTATATACAGCATTAATAATTAGTTTTTAAGTGATCTATTTAGGGTTTAGCTCAGCTCACAAGTTTTTAAGTTTATGCCTCAAATTCTTAAAAAATTTTATTTGTGTACGTAAAAAAATTCTAAAATTAAACAGAATTCTGTTTGTAATTTTACAAAATTTATAGCGACGAAATATAGTACTCTATCCCTTAAATAAGCTTTTATTACTTGTGAATTATGAATAAAATTCTTTAAATAGGTTTTTTTTAAAAAAAAATTCAAACTTAAAATATCCAATGTAAACTCTCAAAATTTAAAAAATAGTTTAATAAGATTGAATTATCTAACTTTTAAAATAATAATTAGTGTCTTATTCAATAAACGTAGCCGAAACCAAACCGTAAAAATATTACTGTTAGTATAAAAATCTTTAAATTTATATTAGAAGGCAGTAAATTTAGAAATTAGTAAGTTAAATTGTTATTTTCCTTATTTAGAGAAAAAATTAGTAAGTTAAATTGTTATTTTCCTTATTTAGAGAGAAAAAAAACTCTAATTTTTCATATTTTCTAATTAATGGTAGCCTTTTTCTGTTTTTTTGTTATTTTTTTTTTATTTTCCAATAATTTTACGGGCCTCGGGTCGGGGTTTAGAAGAGTTTTGGGCCTAGGGCTTTAGTCAAAAGCTGGATTCAGTATCCGCCCATCGAATTCGAGAAGGTGAGTTGTTCTACAGCAAAACCCAATCGATCAAGCTTAAAGCCTAAAGCTTCGTCAGTGATTTTCCTGCCCCCTAGTTCCTCCGAGAAAAAAGAGGTATTTTTCAACACAAGATATGGCCGGTGAGGTAGCGGTAGAGGGTGCTGCGGCGGCGACTGAAGTACCCGATTCCAATCAGCAGTCCCACAAATTAGAGAGAAAATGGACCTTTTGGTTTGATAATCAGTCGCGGCCGAAGCAAGGCGCCGCTTGGGGCTCCTCTCTGCGCAAGGTCTATACCTTCGACACCGTCGAGGAATTTTGGTGGTACGTTCTTGGATCCTTCTCTGTGTTGATGTTTAGATTTGGCCTTTTTCCCCTTCTGTAGATATTCTCTTTTGCTAGATTAGGGCATAGCTCTTTTGGATTTTAACTAACGAGTCGTGTATTGAAGAGAATTATTTGTCATGTATGCGTATTTGATTTGATTCTCTACGGTGTGGGGGTTGCGTTTCATTTTTCTTTGAAGTCGAACCACGGTTTTGGACGAGGTGATTGGACAAGAGCAATAGACCAGATTTGTTATTTTTACGATTTATGATTTCGACTATTCTGCAGTTTGTACGATCAGATACCCAAGCCGAGCAAGTTGCCGGCGAATGCAGATTTTCACTTGTTCAAATCTGGAGTTGAGCCGAAATGGGAAGATCCTGAGTGCGCTAATGGAGGAAAATGGACTGTCACGAGCAGTAGAAAGGCTAACCTTGATAGCATGTGGCTGGAAACGGTATAGAAATCGTCGAATAATTTTATGCTGAAGTTGTTTATTGTATGCCTCATGAGTTTGTGGTAATTGCTTGCTTTAATATGATCGAAATCTGCCTTGTTTTCTTCCATTGCTAGTTGATGGCTTTAATTGGGGAACAATTCGAGGAGTCTGATGAGATTTGTGGCGTCGTTGCCAGTGTGCGCCAGAGGCAGGACAAACTTGCATTATGGACAAAGAATGCAACAAATGAGGCTGCTCAGGTTTGCCTCCTTTTATTGATTTTTTATATAATAGTGAAACCTGTCTTCTATGAGATTATTGGGAACAAACCTGTCTTCTCTGAGGTTTTGGTTTGGTTCTTTCTGCTGTTTATGATCCTTTTTGAGATCTTATTCGACGTTCTTGAAGTTTTTGAGAGAGATCATGTTTTCTGCTTATAGGAAAATTATCTTCGCTTATTCCGTAAACGTTTAGTTGTTGTTGTGAATGTGCGGATTACTAAATGTGTAGCTCCTCTTGTTTGCTTTATTTTGGCCTCTTTTGGGCTGATCTTTCTTGCAGTGCTTTCCTTTGTTTGCTCTATGAATCATGTCTTTCTCTATTTCATTCATGCACTCATGCTAAGTATTCCAGTACAAAATGTTACTGCATCGTTTTACATTTGTTCTTAGAATTTGTCTATTCATTAGATTGCTTGCCATTGCATTTATAACATATTACCTTTATCTTAAATCAAATGCAATTTATTAGGTGACGTTTAGAACCCAAGTTTAACCTCAATAAGCAAGGGACTAGGGAGGGCCTAGGGCAATTCGGCTTTGACTTACTCAATTGATTTTGGATGTATCAAAGAATCTTACCTGCTGCATTCCTTCTCTTTGTTATTATGCAAGTTGAATTGTTAAGCAAAGATGCCTTTAGTGAATACGAGCCAACTAGCTTTGCACTTTTTCTTCAGTATGTTTCAAGTTGTAACTTGTTTCAAGATCTCTGGTTAGACAGTTTGCAAATATTGAGAGTATAGTAGATGTCGAAAATATATTTTGTATCATTATTACTTTTGACATGGTGAATTCAGTCCCCTGACATACCGCCCCTTAAAGCTTCTAAGCAAAGTTCTAAAGACTATGGCTTACTCTGTTGCTTTTCATCATTTGGTGCAGATGAGCCTTGGTAGGAAATGGAAGGAGATCATCGACGTCACCGACAAGATATCCTTCAGCTTTCATGTAAGCATCAGTTTTGTGGTCATCAACATTTTCTCCCGTTCCCCTCATTTTGTCTATTAAATCTCTCTGTTTTGGTTGGCTGTAGGAGGACTTGAGGAGGGAAAAGTCGGCTAAATCTCGATACAGTGTCTGATCATCAACTAGATCATGTTGCCGTGCTAAATTTTGAGGAAAATACTAAAATTGTTATTTCGACATACTTGTCATTGTTGTTATATTTCCTTCTTTTGTTGGCTTTGTTTTCGGATCCAAGACAATCGATTCAGATCTTCCATGCTTTGAATGCCAGAATTTTACTTCAATTTATTTGTTGGAACATACCCATCTAGAAGTGAAGCAATATACTGAAATTATTGTATTGTATGATTTATGGGGAGGAGGGCTGTCTCATTAGGTTGAATATTTTGATTTGTTCTTTTTACTGCTTTGCCAGAATTACAGAAGAATGAAGCACTGCCTGTGTCTAAAGAGTGAGTTTTAAGAAAGTAACATTACAGCTGATGAACTGAAGCAAATGGAAAGCAGGAGAGCATACGAAGAAGAAGAAGAAGAAGAAGAAGGAGAAGAGCAGAGATGATATCTCTCAGGCAAGGAATCCAAGTCTTTCTCCATTCTTCTTTGCTAGCCTGATTAATCCTTGTCTTTGCTTTCCATCTGCTCCAATTGACTTGCAAAACTCTGTGATTACCTGAGAAACAACAGAATTCAGGAAAACTAGATGTGTTTGATGATTATTTGGTTACATTACTATCGAAGTAGGACGGTTTGAAAACCTAGATGTGTCGAATCTGATGATTATTTGGTTCTTGGTTATTGAAAATTTTGGACCTTTGTTTCTTCTTGATATAAAGTTTGAAATGATCTAAGTGAGAGATTAAGGGGGAAAAAGATGCATTACCTGAGAATGCAAGGCAATTGCTTTGCCTCTAAGCTGATTGAAGCGCTTCTTGCCGATGAGATTCCGAGTAACTACAACCAATGGCGCAAAAACCCCTTTACCCTCATTGACGTTCTTCATCATCGGCCGGAACCTCACCGCCTTCCCCATGCTCACTTGCACTGCAGCCGGCTTCACCGCCAGCAGCAGCGCGTAGTCCTCTCCGGCCACGGAAAAACCCCATCCTCCAGGAAAAGAAGAAGAACAGGACAATCCAGTTGCAGAAATGGAAGTGGACGCCATGGAAACAGCTTCTTCCTCTTCTTTCTCTGGTACAATTCCAACTCCTTGCCCCTCTGCTTCTCCGTTTGATGGTTGGATGTAAAATGTGGGTGAGGAAATTGGCGAGTGAGAGGGGGATTGTGAGCCACACACCGCGTTAGGGTTTTGGCGTTTAGTTTGAAAAGCAGAGATGTGAATGTGAATTGTTCATGCGATTGCTTCAATGGTCCATAATTTGGGAAGAATTATGAGGTGGTTGAACTGTATTGGTGTGTTTGCTTCGGCAACGGGGCCCTGTCTGCTGCTAATCTTTATCAGCGTGGCTCCATATCCGCCGCGAAGAAGACGAAGCCACCCCTATTTCACAATCTCTTCCTCTCATTATTATTATTATTATTATTATTATTAATCTTAGATTTAAAAAGAAAGAAAACACCTATTTTACCTTAGAATTAAATTTAGTTCCATTTTCAATTCCATTTTTTTTATTAATAAATAAATCATTTTTCTCCTTATTTCGCTCATGGCGGTTGCTATAATATTTTCTTGAGCTTAAATGTTATTTATTTATTTATTTATTATTATTTAAATATATATAATTTTACACGTTTTTAAACTTTTTAAGAGCTTTAAAATACTAATGTACACCTTTTTTTAATGAGCTGGTTTGAATAGACTTTAAAAATGATTTATCAATATTAAAATGATAATTAGTTTCGATATTATAGTCTAATTTTTACTAAATTTTGCTAATTTGCTTAATAATTTTAACAATTTTTTTTTCGCAAAAATAAGTTTGACAAGTATAAACTAACTATTAAATAACTTTATCAAAATTCATAATTTTTTTTTAAAAAACTCACTATTATTTTTTTTTCTAAAATTCTATAAATTTTATATTGTATGCATATTTTATAATTCATTGCATAAAAAAAATTTAAGGATTTACTTTTAGAATTTTAGAGTCCATTTTTACTTAAATTTATAATTGAGGTTGTATTAATGCATTGTCTTAGCATTATTTAATATCCAAACAAATTATTATTATTATTATTATTATTATAATATTGAAAAGAAAAAAATAGACAACTTATTTTAGGCTTTACATTCATTTCCATAATTATGTTTTTGTAGCTTCTAAGTTCCTTTACCTCACAAATTATGCTTAAATTATAAGGAATGGAGCTTAAAAAAAATCCAATAATTAAAAAAAAAACAAAATAATTTAAAAAAAAATCACTTCATCTATGAAATTGAATCGTTCTTCTAAGCATTTCATTCATCAAGCTTGTTTTTGTTGAGCGGATTGAAGCTTCAGGGTCAACGATCGGCCAGCTCGGTCTTCCCAAGGGAAGAATTCGAGAGCAAACGATGAACCCATCAACAAAATGAATCGAATTCTTCAACAAAATCAATAGCCCTTTCAATGGCGTCATTAGCAGCGCATCTCTCCGCCGCCCTCTTCCTCGTTCCCATAGGCGTTCGTCGGCTACTCTGTTCTTCCTCTGTTTACATCGACAACCCATCGCTTTACCGATCAAGAACATGGTACTTATCCGAACCCAAATGGAAAAATTTCGATTTATATTCTCTGGTCCTCCTCCTCCCCATTGCCGCCTTCTCTGAAATCTTCCTTTTCCTTGCATTTTCCGGGAACCCCACTTACAAATTTGCATTTTCCCACCAATCAATGGCCATTTTCTTCTTCTGGGCACTCACGATTCTCATTATTTTGCGGGAAAATTTCGACCCTCTTCTTGTAAGTGAGAGTTTCATCTTCGTTTTCGCTGGAATCGCTTTTCTCATTGAGTATTCAGTGATTGGCAATGGTATTACTGGTCTTGGTGGCGCTTTTTATAACTTATCTAGCGGATTAGCCCTTCTTTGTGCTTGTTGTTGCATGTATTTGTCTATGAAACCCGCTTCATTTTTCGCTGAATTTCTACTTTCTTCTGGCTTAACGTTTAAGGGTACATGGATGTTCCAAATTGGGATGTCTTTGTATACCGATGCGTTTGCTTTGAAGGGTTGTCGTGCAATATTGCCTGCTACCGAAGATGCTTTTGTTCAATGTGATCTTGAGGAGGATCAGATGAGGGGCATTGCTTTGATGAACTTGATATTCATTGGCCATGCTTTTTTGGTTTTGATCTTGGGTTTAGGCTTGTTTGGTTTGTTGTCTAGCAACAAGATTTTTAGGTGCCGCGAGGGGAGCGGCCCTTTGTTGGCTGAGTTTGGACAAGAAACCATGTTGAGTTCATCGTCTCCTGAGATTGAGATGGAGTGAAATTGTGTGGCTTCTCATTCATTACTGTATCTTTACACATTATAGTGGAGAAAAAATGGATTTGTTCTTTCATATTGTGGCTTTGGCGTATAGTAAATGTTCATAAGTTCTTGTTCTTATATCTTCTTTTTGATGTTTTGATCATTAGAGAAATGAAGTAGATTAGTTTGCCTGCTGTTTAGTGTGAAGAAAGTCTTCATCAAAGACACTTTAGTTTAAAACGTGTAGGCCTACCGAGCGGGTACTTTCGTATTTGACAAAAGGCTTTCAGTAGCGTAGAATCTAAGCCTTTTGAAAAAAAAAGTGCTCTCTGAAAGCACGAATCCTCGGTGAAGAATATAATCCCTCTCTTATTACTTTTTTTGTATCCTCTGTTCCAATCTCCATTTCGAGTCTTGGAAAATTGAAGTGACCCCACCTTTTCTATCGAGACTGAGAAGTAGTGATAAGTGTTCGAGTCCGCTCATCTTCACTCCAACTGCAGCAACTTCAAAGAGTCTCAATGACAAACAAAATCTCAGAATCTCCACGGTTCCGGCTACGTGAGGTAACTCTATGTTTCAGTTGAGGAAATTGCAATTTTTTTTTGTGGATTGTGAGAGATTTTCATAATTGAATGATTGGTTGGGCAGACTTTTGGTTACGTTCTTTAGGATTTCAAATGTAAAGGGATTAGGGTGCCTAAAGTGTATGGATAGATGGTCTGGATGAAGTTTTGAGAAAAGGCCAAAGCATCTTGTTGTATTGATACTTAACGGGTTCTTTTGTAGGAATTATCTTATTGAAAAGATTGTGTGAGGTCCCACCACGGTTGGAGAGGGGAACGAAACATTTCTTATAAGGGTGTGAAAACCTCTCCTTAGTAGACGCATTTTAAAAATCGTGAGCTTGACAACGATACGTAACAAGCCAAAGCGGACAATATCTGCTAGCGGTGGGCTTGGTTTGTTACAAATGGTATCAGAGCTAGACACTGAGTAGTGTGCTAGCAAAGACACTGGGTCCCAAAGGGAGTGGATTGTGAGATCCCACATCGGTTGGAGAGGGGAACGAAGCATTCCTTATGAGGGTGTGGAAACCTCTCCCTAGTAGACGCGTTTTAAAAACCATGAGACTGATGACGATACGTAAAGGGCCAAAGCGGACAAAATTTGCTAGCGGTGGGCTTAGGTTGTTAGAAATGGTATTAGAGCCAGACACCGGGCTAGCGAGGACGCTAGCCCCTAAAGGGGGGTGGATTGTGAAATCCTACATTTGGTTGGAGAGGGGAACGAAGCATTCCTTATAAGGGTGTGGAAACCTCTCCTGAGTAGATGCGTTTTGAAAATCGTGAGGCTAATGACAATACGTAATGGGTCAAAGCAGACAATATTTGCTAACAGTGAGCTTGATTAACTCCTTTAGAATCACATCCCGTTAGTTATATGCTCAATATACATGGATGACCGAGATTTAGATCAGTAAGACAACTCTTGAACATGTTATTTGATCAAACAATTTTGTCTAACAACAGAAAGCAAATCTTACATCTTCAGGCATCAACAAACTTACCAAACAAATCATAATAAATCATTCAAAAAAAGAAAAATACAAACAATCTTCTACACAAAAACAAGGGAGTTTGATGAATCCATGCAACCTTTATTGTTTTCATGAAGTTTATATCATTCCACTTGAATCTAATGACTGGTTATCCTTTATGCAGTTCAGACAACCAATCCGAGAGGCTCGAATGCACCGGCTTTTCTTGCTTTTGAGTATCAGGTAAGCTCGAACTTAGTCTCGAATTCAATGTCGATTCATTTAAACTGAAAAATGCTGGAGATTGTGGCTGCTCTGATGTCTTAACCTTGTTGTTCATCTGCTGCTTACTGATTGTCCCTGCTTTTGCTTTAGCTGTTCTCCATTGAGTAAGATTTTCTATTGGTTTTAGAACAGAATGAACTTGTTGGCTCCTGTCTACACTATTAGTTTCAAACTCATCATGTTCTTCATCAATTTCACTGTCTTCCAAATCACTTTCACCATATCCAAAATCATCTTCTTCGTCGTCACAACTATCCGCACAATTCTGGTATCTGTGGTTTTGAGGGTAATTTCCCGAATTCGAGGTCGTAAACTCCTTGTCTGTGAGTGAAGTAGAATCCGTTCTAGCGGTTGCTTCTTGGCTATGTTCTTTGGTTTTTACCTCTTCATCACTCTCCAGGAAATATTGATCATCTGGAACAGGTTCGTAGGTCTGGACGTTTAGATTAAAGCTAACTTTCTTCCTGATTTTGACCCAAGCCTGCTCCTTAGATCTATCCTTGACAACGATCATAACAATTTAAAGAGTAGCTATCATTACCTTCCCCCAAAAGGTTAAAGATTTGAATCTCACCCTACATTCTATTGAACAAACAAAACAAAGAAAGTCGACAAACACTCATCACCCACCTCGGTTTAGAATTCTGAATCTCGAGCTTGTCCGTAACATCACAAGCTGTTATCTGAGAGGAATCTAAAGGCTCGTAGCTTAGATGTATCTGTGGAAGATTTACACACAATTCTATAACGAACCATCCAACGAGAACATAATTTAGATACAAATGAAGGATAAAAGCAGGGATTGAATCTATTACTTGGTTGCTAACTGTGAGTCCATCTACCGGTGATCGGCGTTTCTTCCGACGCTTATGAAACCTGAAACAAGCTAGAAAACACCCCATCGAGAACCTGCAGAAGCTCAAGAAAGCTGTGTTAGATTTGGTTGTTCCATTTACAGAGGCAGGCAAGAAAGGGAAAGGGGAAATGTTGGAAGTTTGAAAAAATGCATTTGGCTCCAGAGTGGTTTGAAAAGTAAGAAGAAAGAGGGAAGGGGAAATGTTGTAATGAATGCAAGCTGGGGCCTACACACTCTCATTTATTTTTTTCCAATTTTCACCTATGTCATCTAACATTTAAAACCCGCTTCATTTTCGTCTTTGTATTTTCAAATATTTATATAAAATCAATTTTAAAATTATTGATCGTGTAAAATTTAAAATAATTAACTTAAATATTAATACTTAGTTTCATTATTCCTTTTTTTTAATTTTAAATGAATAATTTATAATATTGATATAGAATGTTATAATTTATTAAATAAAAAGTATAATGTTTATTAATTAATATTTGGTTGAAAAGAAAAAAAAAAAAAAAGTCATTTTATCATTTTTCGAGTAGATTTGTTGCAACTATTGCCAATGTTAAACTCTGTGGTCAATTCTACCAATAGAAATTAAGCATTATAATACTTGGTCGACTATTGGTCCACCTAATAGAAATTAAGCATTACAATACTTGGTGACTACAGGTCTACCTATTTTAGGCGATTTTAGGCGATTCAGGTCTGGGGCAGTAATTCTAGATAATGATTTGAGAACGGAATACAAGCATTTCCAAATTTGTAATAATGATTTTGAGTTGGAATTGTTCGGGTGTGGATGAGTTAATCTTTATTGGAGATCGCCATTTCTGGGTTTGGGCTTTCGTTGCTGCTCCTCGCTTCCGTCCATTTGAATGTAACGTGTAGAACCTAAATCTTTATCGTTAATATCTAGCTCAAATTTATGTAGCTCATCATAATATAACCAAAATAAACCCATTATATTTTTAAATTATTTATTAATTATGAGAATCCATCAATAATTGGCCTCCATAAATTCCATTCTTAGGCTTCTATCTCGTGACAATCACGTGAGTAAGGATTGATTGCTCAAAAAATACAGACCGTGAAACCAATCTAACATTCCACAATCAACCCAATCCTGACCGTTCATACTCAAACCCTACTACACTTCGAAGAGCACTCTTTTTTATTACCTCAGATCCACCAGAGTTCTCTCTTCCCCTTTTCTTCTCTCTCTTTTTCTCTTTCTCTTTTCAAGCCCCAGTCGGCTGCAAACCCTATTCTGAAATCCGTAACCCATAAACCAAATTCAATTTTTGCAGGAAGAACAGAGCCGTGAATCGATTTTTCCATTTGGGGTTTTTGAGAAACAGAGAGAAAAAGGGGCAATGGATTCGGATCAGGGGAAGCTTTTTATTGGTGGGATTTCATGGGAGACCTCTGAGGATAAGTTAAAGGACCACTTCAACAGCTATGGTGAAGTGATGCATACCGTTGTTATGAGGGATAAGATCACTAGCAAACCTAGAGGGTTTGGATTCGTTGTCTTTGCAGATCCCTCTGTTCTTGATCGAGTTCTCCAGGATAAGCACACTATAGATGGTAAAACGGTGCGTCGGAATCTTTTTTTTGTTTTCTTTATTCGATGTCGAGATTTTTGGTCTTTTTGGTTCGTGATAATAGCATTTGTGTTCCTTTGATTTGGCCTGGATACCTCATTTGAGTTCTAGGGGTTTTTGATTCCATAATGATATTAAATACTTTCCTTTTGGGTATCACATATCTGATGTTACTGGCTTTTTAGGGTTGCTCATATTGATGCATTTGCACCTCTCGTTACTGAGCTTTTTAGGGTTGTTTTTGGTGTAATTTGTTGGTTTGGTGCATTGCTTTTTTACGAGGAGAGGTATTGACAAAAGGGTCGGTTGTATTCTGCATTTTCGTTTCATCCTAGCTTATGTTTTCACTATGATTTACTGGAGAAATTCGTATTTCATATGATTGTGTATATTCTCTTGATAGTTAGTTCTTGGTAGGAATCTGTTGACTTCAACTGTGAAGTGTTGTCACGAGTTTTCTTTTGGTAACATTAGTGAAACCTAAACCGTTACCTGTCGGTAGATCTGTTTCGGTTTTGGGGCTAGTATGTAAACTGTTGCTATAACTTTCTCTCATTTGGTATCTTATCTTCTGGAAATATCTTACCTTCCTATCGTGTCGTTTTTTTGAAGAACTTTTTAGCATTTGTAATTTATATTCTTTTCTAGGTTGAGGCTAAGAGGGCCTTATCACGAGAGGAACAGCAGACCCCTGCGAGAGCGGGCAATTTGAACGCTACTAGAAATTCTGGTGGTGGAAATATGAGAACCAAAAAAATTTTTGTTGGGGGATTGCCTCCAACATTGACTGAAGAGGGGTTTAAGGAGTATTTTGAGACTTATGGCGATGTAACTGATGTAGTAGTCATGTACGATCAAAATACTAGGCGTCCACGGGGATTTGGATTTATATCTTTTGATACTGAAGAAGCTGTTGACAGAGTTTTGCACAAGACATTTCATGATTTGAATGGTAAACAAGTAGAAGTTAAGCGTGCCCTTCCCAAAGATGCCAATCCAGGTGCAGGTGGCCGCTCGATGGGTGGCAGTGCAAGCAGTGGTGGTTATCAAACTTATGGGTCATCTGGTGGTGTCAATTCAAATTCATATGATAGTCGTATGGATTCGAATAGGTACATGCAATCTCAGGGCTCTAGTGGAGGTTTCCCACCTTATGGTTCCTCTGGATATAACAATCCCGGGTATGGTTATGGTTCATCGAACAATGGTATGGGATACGGTGGTTATGGAAACTATAGTGGTTCAAATACTGGGTATGGTGCCCCTTCTGCTGTTGCTTATGGTAACCCAAATGTCGCCAATGCTGGTTATGCAAGCGGTCCTCAAGGTGGACCTAGAAGTTCGTGGTCCGCTCAAGCTCCCTCTGGATATGGAGCCATGGGCTATGGGAATGCAGCCCCGTGGGGAGGTGCCCCTGGGGGCAATGCTGGAGCTGGCAGTGGTGGGCCTGGATCTGCACCCACAGGTCATTCTCCTGGTGGAGCTGCTGGGTATGGCAATCAGGGTTATGGATATGGTGGGTTTGGGAATCAAGGTTATGGTTATGGTGGAGGTGATGGCTCGTATGGGAGTCAATCTGGTTACGGTACAGGTGGAGGACGTTCTGGTAGTGCCTCAAATAGCAATGTCGGGGGTGGTCCAAGTGGGGGAGAATTACAAGGGAACAGTGGTGGTTACATGAATAGTGGCTATGGCGATGCTAATGGAAACACTGGTTATGGAAATGCTGGTTGGAGATCCGATGGCGGACAAGTAGGTTATACCGGTGGTTATGGTGGTGGACAAGCTCGACAATCTCAACAACAGTAATTTGATCAAAAGGAAACTGGATGTTAGCATGTTGTGTGTATCTCCCTGTTTGTTTTACGAGATCGATGTTTTCCAGTTGCTTGTTATAAAATTTTTCTTCTTGTTCCTGACTGAAGCGGTGGCCCGATTCGGAACACGATGAGCCTGGTGGGGTTGCTTGAATCCAAGTAGCTTGCAGTATTAATTTTTCTAGTCTAAATAAGTAGCTGTTTTAGAAGTTTACTTGATGCTTCAGTTATTTAGTATTTTGTTGCTGAACGTAGTCTTACATTTGATCTCTTTTATGGATATGTCTATTTAGCTGTCTGTCTGCTATCAATTCTCATATTTTCACATTGTTTGAGCTGTGTAATACTTATATGCAGATGTTTTGTTTCCCCTTGTTCTCTAAGATCATCAGGTGTATACGACATGAAGGATTTAGACGATAAATGTTTCGTTCTGTGCTTTACATTTCATGTAGGAATACAAAGATTTAGACGATAGATGATAGTGTTGGAGCCCTCGGTACTGGGTCGATCACTTCATATGGTTAGCCTAATCGTAGTCGTAGTTGGCTGTTTAACAATGGCATAACCATTTTCCCCCTCTATTTGCCCTTGTGTTACAGGAGGGATGCTCGGAGTTGTAAAAGTGGAGTCCGTCATGGCTGAACACAGGCTTCGTAGTGAAGGACCGAGTCGGGGATGATGCGTGTGTTCAGCATTTATGGACTTTTACCCCGAGAAAGAATATGTTCTTCTGTGAGGCCTTGTCGACTCGTACTCCCAAGTCTCTGGTATTGTAAGTCATGAGTTTTATAGTTAAATCCATGCCTTCAAGAATGAGTAGGTAATGACTTGAGGTTCGTTCTTTGTTGAAGCAGAATCCGAAACATAAAGTGAAAACGTCGTAGCTCTCTCTCGTTTTCTGTTTTGCTGCTTCGAGGTCGACCGAATGTCGTAAAGAACTCGGCTTTAGAACATCTTTTTAGGTGAAAATGGTATTCCTTTTGGTGTTCAGTTTGGGTGAAGATTGAATGAAAAGTTTGCATATTTTCAACTTAGACAGCTTTTTCCTTGGAGATTCCGTTTTTCTTTTGTCTTTGAACTTGATTTCTTTTTGTGGTAATAATTGCATTAATGTTTAGTTACCTGAACTGGTCAATGTAATTAATTTTAAAATTCCTTATTAACCTTTTTCTATTATTTTAAAATTATGCTTTATTGTCCACTTTTATCTTTGCATTATTGTTTTACTCACAAAATGTTTCGTTCTCTTCTCTAACCATGCGGCCAATCCACCCTTTAGGTGTCTGGCATCAAGAGGCTTCTTCAACCGTTGAAAAGTTGGAGAAGAATATTAAACACAAATTTTCTCTATATTCCTTCGATTAACCTTTAGTATTGTTTAATTCTAAATGAAATCAACCTAACGACTTATATAAAATCGTTGAGTAATTGAAAAATGACAAGTCAATAGTTATGGACTCCCGAGAAAGAGTAGAATAATGAGACCTATTATGGGACATACAACACATTACAAACGTATGATCATTATGCTTCCACGGGATTATTCTATTCCACCTCTTGGAATAAAAAAATTCATGGATAATTACTCCTGCAGATGGTATTCATTACTTATAAACTAATGATCATCCCATTAGTTAGCCTCCCATGAGGCTTATGAAATCCTCGAATGCTCTCTCTTTAATCGAGACTCGACTCTTTCTCTGGAGCCCTTGAACAAAATACACATTTTTTCGACACTTGAGTCATTTTTAACTATACCTTTAAAACTCACAATTTCTTTTTCGACACTTGAGGATTCTATTCACACGACTAAGTTAAAGGTACGACTTTAATACCATGTTAGGAATCACGAGCCTCCATAATGATATGATATTTTCCATTTTGATCATGAGAGAAACACAATAAATCAAAGATCTCTATGGAGTTTGAAACTTAATATGGGTTGTTTGATTCGGTGAGCAATTCTATGGAGTTTGAAAGTTCAGCTTTGTATACATAATACTTCGAAACGACGATGAAGAAGATAAAATTTAAGCAGCTGAGAATAGCGAAGAAAGCGTAGTAGTAGTCGAGATGGGATGTGTTCAAGTTGTTGATGATCCACCCTTTCCCTCCATGGCGGCTGCTGATGTCGGAAACCGATTTGAGAAGTACGCTACTGAGGAAATTTCCGACACCGATTGATGTCGATGAGTAGGATGTCCCAAGACTCTTCATACTCTCAGGGGCCTGTTAAGAACATGAATAAATCTCGACTATCAAGAAATACAAACAAAACCGTTATAAAAGGAGACGTACCTGATTGTAGAAGAACTCAACCTTTGAGACCTCCATGAAGACATTGGCAATCCCCATGAGAATAAACTGCGGCAACAAGATGAAGATACTCAACGGAACTTGGTCGCCACTCTCTACAACACCATGCTCTATCGCTGCCGCCAGCCGCCGCCGCTCAACTAGACAGCTAACAAACATGATCAAAGCATGGATGACGATCCCAGTTCCCATCCGCTGTAGTAAAGTGATCCCTCTTGGATTCTTGGTGAATTTTCTCATTATCTTGACAAAGATTCGGTCGTAAAGTATGACGCTGACGAGTAGCGAAATGTTGACAAAGGCGATCAAGCTCGCCGGTGGGATGCTAAAGTTGCCAACTTTTCGATCCAGAGTGGTGCCCTGTTTTATGAACAAAGTATTGACTTGAGCCAACGTGATGCTTGGGACAAAGGTCGCGATGAGAATTGGTATCATTCGGATCATTTGCTTTGTTTCTTCCACTTCAGTTACCGTGGAGAGCCGCCATGGATGGGTCGAACCAGTTCGGATTGAAGCTTTGTTGAGGAAGCTGAGGGAGAAGAAAAAAAAGAAATCTTAATGAAAATTTGTTATGAATGATCTGGATTTATAAATAAGAAAATACATCTCGTTTGTTGAAGAAGCTGAGGAAGATGAAAAAATAAAACCATATGAACTTATGCTCAAAATAGATAATATCATATTTTCGTGTCATAATTGAATGTAATTTCTGAACATACCTCAAAGTGGGAGTGGGCTCCATCCTAAACTTCTTCTTTTTCGTGTACTGTTCCAAGTCCCACTCATACAGCTCCTTAGCCTCCCTCGGCAGCGGCAGTTTCCGGTTGTTGATGGCGGCGACAATAACCTTAGCCATCCGAGTAAAGGGACTTCCGGCGGGAACCTTGTGGCGGTAGAAGGGAATTCCGGCTACAAAAATGGCAGTAGCAATGGCAAGGCCAGCAGTTGGAAGGCCGTAACCAAGGGTCCACCCAATGTTGTCTTGAATGTAAACAAGAATTATGTTGGCAAAAAAGGCGCCAAAGAAAATGCCGAACATCCACCAGTTGAAAAATGATATTTTTTGATTCTTCTCCTTCGGATGGAAGTCATCGAACTGGTCGGCCCCGATCGTCGAGATGTTTGGCTTGGTTCCGCCTATGCCGATCGCGACGATGTAGAGTGCACCGAAGTAGAGGGCAAGATGCAGCGTGGAGGGCTTGTCACAGTGGCCGGCGGTTGGTTGGGCAAACAATGGCGGCTTTTGCATCGGGAGTGAGACAGCCATTGTTAGAAGCGACATGCCCTGTGTTTGTGTTAACCATGTTAGCATTGGAACATGTTGGAATAGGAATACATGCTGGTTTGGAGAAATTCTTATAAACCTGCTATTTTTAAAATTTTATGGATATTTTAAGAGTTAATAAAAAAAAAAAATGAGAGAGAGAGTACGTACCAATAAGTAGACAACAGAGGTGATGAGAAAGGTCCAAAAGCGACCAAGATAAGCATCAGCAACATAAGCACCCAAAACCGGGGTCATCCAGACAACCCCAACCCAGTTTGTGACATGGTTGGATGCATTTACAATGTTTTGGTGTAGTCTAGTCGTCAAATATATCACTAAGGTCGAAGATATCCCACAAAATGTCATCCTTTCGAGCACTTCATACACTATTCACAACACCCATATTTCTTTTTTTAACGAACACTATCTTACAAATCAAATTCACATTATATGACTGTCACACTAATCTAAGTTTATCGATATGATCAAGCTAAAACATAATCAGTAACGTCATTTCTCATAATTTATTAAGTACATTTCTATACACCCACATGAACTATAACACGAAACTGAGGATTAAGAGAAGCATTTCGAGATCTAACGAGAGAAATTAGAGAAATACCAATAATAAAGGAGCAAGCTTTCCAGCCACCCCTCTTGGAGCGACGAACAGGGTTGCCCTTGAGATCCACAGTCCCATCCTGTGTGTAATCATCAGCAACGCCTTCTTCGACAGCCATGGTTGTCTGTCTTGCAGCACAACAGTTCATACCCCAAATTTTCATTTATAGAAATAAAATTAAAAAAAAAAACAAAAAATTACATTTTGACCCTTCCCCATAAATTCACCCCCACCTATCCACGTCCTATAAATATTGGCAAGTTGGTTTTGACCATCATTAGGTCAACTCCTCAAATTCATCATAGTATGGATAAATCTTAAATAAAAAATATATTATAATAATAATAATAATAATAATAATAATTTATACGAATTGGTATTATAAATTTTGAGTTAAACAGTAATTTAACTAAACTAAAGAAGTAGACTTTCGGGAAGTTTAAGGATATTATTAAATTTTGTGTTTTTTAGTCCACTAAAACTATATAATAATTTTAAATGAAACAAGTAGAAGGTGGAAGGTGATCAAAGAAACGTCTCGTCATTTCTAACAAAGTTGAATCGAAAAAAAAGCTTCGAGCTTCTTCGATGGCGAAAGCCTCTAAAGTTCGTCGATTTTTGAACTTTTACAAACCACTTTAGTTTTTTTTTTTTTTTTTGAAGATGTTAATGTGAGTTGTTTGTGTTAAAGGTAGAGTAGATCATATTTGTGTATAGTAAGATAATTTAGTGATTTACTGGTTTGTTACCAAATATATGATTTCATAGTTTTGTTACCAAATCTATGATTTCATAGTTTGTTAACAAATCTATGATTTAGAATGTAATCTTCATTATACACATCTATAAATACATGAGGTCCTGGCCCTAGGTCAGGTCATTGAGTCATTCAACCTAACAGTTTGATTCATTAGATGGTGTTTTCTCCTCCAATTCTTGTATGAGTAATTTGATGGAGTCCGAAAGTTCAGCTTTGTATACATAATACTTTGAAACGACGAGAAAGAAGATGAAGTTTAAGCAGTTGAGAACGGTGAAGAGGCCGTAGTAGTAGTCGAGATGGGATTCGTTCAGGTTGTTGAGGATCCACCCTTTTCTCCCATTGCGGCTCGTGATGTTGGAAACTGTTTTGAGAAGTATGCTACTGAGGAAATTCCCGATCCCGATTGATGTCGATGAGTAGGATGCCCCGATGCTCTTCATACTCTCTGGGGCCTGTTAAGAACGTTAAGAACATGATTAAATTTATAATAACCCATCTATCAAAAAGATACAAACAAAATCGTTATAGAAGGAGATGTTAGGGATCAGGCTCTCCACAATGGTATAATATTATCCCTGTATTCGATCTCTGTGACTTCGACGTAGAAGATGTACCTGATCGTAGAAGAACTCAATCTTTGTGACCTCGACGAAGGCATCGGCAATCCCCATGAGAATAAACTGCGGCATCAAGATGAAGATACTCAACGGAACTTGGCCGCCACTCTCTACAACACCGTGCTCTCTTGCTACCGCTAGTCGCCGCCGCTCAACCAAAGCGCTGACAAACATGATCACAGCATGGACGACGATCCCAGTTCCCATTCGTTGTAGCAGAGTGATCCCTCTTGGGTTCTTGGTGAATTTCCTCATCATCTTGACGAAGATTCGGTCGTAAATTACGATGCTGATGAGTAGCGAAATGGTGATGAAGGCATTCAAGCTCGCCGGTGGGATGCTAAACTTGCCAATTTTTCGATCCAGAGTGGTGCCCTGTTTTATGAAAAGAGTGTTGGATTGAGCCAACATGATACTCGGGATAATGGTTGCAATGAGAATTGGGATCATTCGGATCATTTGCTTTGTTTCTTCCACTTCGGTTATTGTGCAGAGACGCCATGAATCGGTTGAACCAGTTTGGATCGAAGCTTTGTTGAGGAAGCTGAGGGATAACAGAAGAAGAGACTATTAAAAATCACTATTATTTTCTATTCGCGTGAGATGTATTTCTTACTTATAAATGCATGATCATTCTCTAAATTAGTAAAGGACGGAGACTTCATCCTTACCCTCTCTAATCTTTTTTAACATACCTCAAACTGGGAGTGGCCTCCATCCTAAACTTCTTCTTCTTCATATACTCTTCCAAGTCCAACTCGTACAGCTCCTTAGCCTCCTTGGGCAGCGGCAGTTTCCGCTTCTTTATGGCGGCGATAAAAACCTTAACCATCAGAGTAAAGGGACTCCCTGCGGGAACCTTGTGGCGGTAGAATGGAGTTCCGGCGATAAAAATAGCAATAGAAATGGCAAGGCCAGCAGTTGGAAGGGCATAACCAAGCGTCCACCCAATGTTTTCTTGAATGTAAACAAGAATTATGTTGGCAAAAAAGCCGCCAAAGAAAATGCCGAACATCCACCAGTTGAAAAATGATATTTTTTGACTCTTCTCCTTCGGGTGGAAGTCGTCGAACTGGTCCGCCCCGATCGTCGAGATGTTTGGCTTCGTGCCTCCCGTGCCGACCGCTAAGATGTAGAGTGCACCGAAGTAGAACCCAAGCTGCAGTGCGGAGGGCTTGTCGCAGTGGCCGAGGGTTGGTTGGGGGCACAATGGCGGCTTTAGCGACGGAATTGAGACGACCATTGTTAAAAAAGACATTCCCTGTATATTAACCATGTTAGTATTAGAACACGTCAATATTTTGTTTAAAAAATACAATGAACTCTTAAAATAATTCAATTTCAGAAGTTTCATTAATACTAGTAATTCGAATACAAAAGGATGCACAAAATTTAAAAATAAACCTAAATTTTTAAGAGTTAAAAAAAAAAAAAAGACATACCATTAAGTAGATAAGAGAGGCCGCCATGAAGGTCCAAAAACGACCGAGATATGCATCAGCAATATAAGCACCCAAAACAGGAGTCATCCATACAACTCCAACCCAATTTGTAACATTGTTGGACGCGGTAACAATGCCTTGTTGTAGTCTAACCGTCAAATATATCACTAAGTTCGAAGATATCCCATAAAACGCCATCCTTTCGAACACTTCATACACTGTTCACAACATTCATATTTCTTTTTTTAACGAACACTACCTTATAAATCAAATTCAAACTTACAGTATGAACTCAAAAGTAAGTCAAATTCACACTATATAACTATTACGCTCATTTCTCAAGATTTATCGAGTAAATTTTTATAAACCCACATGAACTAAAACACAAAATTGAGGATCGAGAGAAGCATTTCGAGATCGAAAGAGAGGAGAGAAATACCAATAATAAAGGAGCAAGCTTTCCAGCCACCCCTCTTGGAGCGACGAACAGGGTTGCCCTTGAGATCCACAGTCCCATCCTGTGTGTAATCATCAGCAACGCCTTCGATAGCCATCACCAAATCACTTGCGGCACAACAACAGAAGTTAATAAAAAATTCACAGCCCAATTTTGCATTTATAGAAAAAAAAAAAGATTATAAAAAATTAAAAAGACAGACAGAAAATTACTGTTTTGTCTTGTACTTTCCTTTTGTGGATTATTGTAACTTCCCTCATTAAAGCTTTCTTAAATTACCATTTTGACCCTTACCCATAAATTCATTCCCCACCTAACCACGTCCTATAAATATTGCCAAAACATCCAAACAAAAATGTTGGAAAAAAAAAAATTAAAAATTATAGGAATTTGACTTATTTTAATTTTGGGTGAATTATAAATTTCTACGTGTAATGGTTTGTTTTTTTAGTTGCATGAACAAGAATAATTTTTATATCCGATTCAATAAATTTACAATTTTTGTTTGTTCGATCGTTCCTCGGATTTGTGGAACGAAATGGAAGTAAAATAACCACTAACCATTTTGATTTAAAAAACTAGATTTACTATACGTGGATAAACTATATAATCATATTATTTGCACGATTGTAAATTAAATGAAGAAACAAGTACAAGCTTAGAGCTTCTTCAATGGCGAACGCCTCTAAGGTTCATTGAAGATGTTAGTATGGGTTGTTTGATTCTTTTGATGGAGCCTTCTCTTTCAGTTCTTCGGAGAGCAATTTTATGGAGTCTGAAACTTCAGCTTTGTATACGTAATACCTTGAAACGAAGAGGAAGAAGATGAAGTTTAAGCAGTTGAGAATGGCGAAGAAGGCGTAGTAGTAGTCGAGATGGGATGCGTTTAGGTTGTTGAGGATCCACCCCTTCCGCCCATTGCGGCTTGTGATGTCGGAAACTGTTGCTAGAAGGAAGCTACTGAGGAAATTCCCGGTCCCGATTGCTGTCGTTGAGTATGATGTTCCGAGACTCTTCATACTCTCTGGTGCCTGATGTTAAGAATATGAATAAATGATTAAATTTATAACGATTGAACTATGACTAAACAGATTAAACGAGACTTACTTGATCGTAGAAGAATTCAATTTTGGAGACCTCCATGAAGGCATCCGCAACCCCCATGAGAATAAACTGCGGCAGCAAGATGAAGATACTTAACGGAACTTCTCTGCCACTCTCAACAACACCGTGCTCTCTCGCCGCCGCCAGCCGCCGCCGCTCAACTAGACAGCTGACAACCATGATCAAGGTATGGAGGACAATCCCAGTTCCCATCCGCTGTAGTAGAGTGATCCCTCTTGGATTCTTGGTGAACTTTCTCATGATCTTGACGAAGAATCGGTCGTAAATTACGACGCTGACGAGCAACGTAGCGGTGACGAAGGCGCTCAAGCTCGCTGGTGGGATTTTAAAGTTACCGACTTTTCGATCAAGAGTGGTGCCCTGTTTTATGAACAGAGTATTGACTTGAGCTAACATGATACTTGGGACAAAGGTTGCGAATAGAATTGGGATCATTCGAATCATTTGCTTTGTTTCTTCCACTTCGGTTACTGTGCAGAGTCGCCATGGATCGGTTGAACCCGTTTGGATTGAAGCTTTATTGAGTGAGCTAAGGGAGAACAAAAGAGAGACCGTAAGCTAATAAACTAAATCTAATAGAACAAGTTACTAATTTATACAGTAATTTTATGAGAATTGTTAGTGTTTTCTCGGCTATAAATACTTTGTTTATTTCTTTTACTTATTTCGACATATTTCGATTCGATCTTAGGTCAAATTTGAGGGGAGACTCAACATACCT